GGGAGGACACAGGGGCCATGCTATCAAACATGTGAGGCTCCCATCACTGTGACCAGGCTTGGTGAGCTGACTAGGGAAGTGGAAACACACCTACAGAGAGGCACTTCAGCCTTGGAGTCCCCTCAGCATACTCTCTCACTGCAGGTCTGTTCTAGGTGCTCATCCACAGAGCTCTCCTCAAAGTCCCTGGCTTCTGTGCACCTGTGCTGCCCTTCTGAGTCCCTGACTCTGCAACCATCAGTCCTCCTCAAGCATCTACATAGAGCTGGCCTCAGGCCATCCCTATTCCAGACAAGGTGGACACTGAGGTCTCTACCTTGATGGAAAGCGCCAACCCAGGTGATAGGTCACAAGGGCATCTGCATCTCCAAACTCAGGCTCCTGCTGAGCCCCAGGCCTGAGCTGTTTTTCAGAGGATGGTGTCTTGCTGAAAGACTCTGGTAGCATAGTGCCTAAGGCATCTGATTGCTAACCAGAAGTTTGATGGTTCAAACCATCAACTCCTCCGCAGAAGCAAAACTGGGCAATCTACTTCCGTAAAGATTTACTGCCTCAGAAACCCAGGTTGCTAAGAGTCCGAATAGAATGGCATGAGTTTGATTTGGTTTTCAGAATTTACCATCTCCAAGTAGCTAGAGTGGCAGGATCCCAGGAGGGGAGCTGGCCAGGAAGGCAGGGTCCATTCCCAGCAGGGCCTTGAATTCCCATGTAAGGAGGTTGGCCTGATCCCACAGGTCAGCATTCCCCACATCTTTGGAATGTGACACAGTCCTACGAGGACAGTCTCTTGAGAGGGTGGGAGATAGGTGCAACCTCCCCAGGATCTATCTGAGAAGGAAAAACACAGCCAGGTGACCTGGATAAACTCCACTATGAGAACCCTTTCCCTGGTTGGTGGAAAAGCATCACAGGGTTTAAGTAGGTGAACACCCTGGTTAGATTTGTGTTTGGGAAGATTATGAATTTCACTGATATATAGTGTCTAGGGAAGACTCAGCTCTAGCTACAGAGAACAGCTTCAGGTCAAGTTCAAGAGGTCAGGACCCTCAATATGAACTGAACTTCCTCTTGCCGCTTTGTGAACTGTGGAAGCAGCAGCAGGATTGCACCTTACTGAGGGGTGGGGGTAAGGGCTTATGCCAGGGCAACATGGAGACTCATTTAATAGCCACTCTTGAGGCTGACTAGTCCAGTTACCTATTGCTGTCACAACGCCAAAACTGATTAGCCACCTAGTTGATTGGGCTTGGCTTGGTAGTTTGTTCTTGGGCTCTCTCCTGCAGTTGCAGTTAGCTAGGGGTTGGAATCATCTTCAACATTTCCCCCCTCAACAAGTCCAGTGGTTCCTGCTGTGGACCTTCCACATGGCTTCGGCTTCCTTACATCATGTTGACTGGGTTCTAAGAATGAGCATCCCAAGAGGACCAGGCTAGGCTTGATCACCTGCCTTGGAAGTCAGATCACTTGCACCATAGATAGTCATAGCCCTGCTTAGGTTTAAGAGGAGGGAACAAGATCCCCACTTCTGAAGGTGTTCTACCTCATGTTTCAAGAAGAGTATGTGGGATAGAAAATCTTACTGTGGCCACCTTGGAAAATGCCTTCAGATACATGGACACTGCAAATCTTGGTCAGCATAGCCCTCCTTACCATAAAAGCATGGCTTTACCTTACCTCCTGAAACTTGGGACACATGCTGGCAGTGGTCTTTGCAACAGCTGTTCTTCCTTTTTATCTCAACCCAGATATTAGTCAATGATTGGCACACAGGTACCACACAGGTTGTCCAGATTGCTATCATCTCAAACCCCTTACTAGGAATATAGTTTGAGGTAATTTGAGTCAAAATAGGGATTCTGCCAGGGGCCTCTGGGAAAACTCTTTCTGCTTTGAGGAGAGAAGCATGTGTTATGTGTCCTTTTTGTAATGTTCTCAGATCACACAGGATTCTGTATTGCTCTTAAATCATATATGACTCTGTATAAGACATTGCTTCTGTAATGCTCTTAAGCCATAGATGCATAAGTTACTGATAATGTGACTTAGAAGTAGAAATTTCTGAACTTAGAACAACAGATGTGAAGAATATGGTAAATAACCTTTCAGTTGACTTTGCCCCAGCATGTTGTGATGGAAGAAAACATACTTAATCTTCATAAACTGCCCTTGAGACATATATTAAACAAATTCTCTAATCTTTAACTTGAAGAGAAGATGTGACATTTGGTTAATCACTAACCCTGGAGAGAAGACTAAACACACTAGTCTTTGATGTCATACTGGTCCTTATCACATCAAGCCAAGGTGAGAATTTCACATATAAACCTTGAATTTCTTCTCACTCACTGAGAGAAGGCAGAGCTGACCCTCTTCAAAGACTGAAATTCTAGACTGAGGCTCTGCCCATTGTTGCTGACCTCAGATCCCTAGCTATGAGAGGCTTCGACCAAGTCTGAGCCACAATCAAGCCTTCTTTCTGAGGCCTCTTGTTAAAGGTAAAAGCTTAAAGTCTAAAGATTGGGACTGTGACTACTGAACTAACATTGTAATTATAATAGTTAATTCTGACTCTCCGGTTCTAAATGAATGTCATGAGGTCCTACTTGTATGCCTTACCTGACTACCTTGCAATAACTAAATGAGTTTATATATGACAAACCTGAGCCTATCTTTATTTATGGCAAGACTTGACCCACTCTTCTGCTGGAGGTAGGGTGGAGACGGCAATCATCAGCCACAATTTGCCCTTGCCTTTTTTCTGGCTTCGCAAGAGACACAGGCTCCCACACTCTTATGCTGACAGGGGTGGCAGTGTAGTCAGGGTGTCGCACCTGGAAGGTAAATGGCAGGTACTATGATATGTCCAGGTCTGAGTCTTGAGACATTGGCTACATGCTCAATGGCCTCTTTGTCCTAATGGTGAGCTGTCTTAAAGATATCTCTTGAAGAAGTGTTGACAGTGCAGACTAGAGCACCATCAAGCAAAAGACAAAGGAAACTGGGTCCCTGAGTTACAGTGAGGGGCAGAGCTGCTCGCTGACCTTACTCCTCTGCAGTATGATGTCTCTCTGTTGCAGCAGGCCCAACTGTTGTTAGGTACTGTCGAGTCAGTTCCAGCTCATACCAACTCTATGTATAACAGAATGAAACACTGCCTGGTCTTGCACTATTCTCACAGTCATTTGCTATGTTTGAGCCTATTGTTGCAACCATTGTATCAATTCA